AAATGCCAGCACATCCAATGACAAATCAGGTCACACCTACACTTGCACATGCATACAAGAATGGTTGAGCGATCAATATCATTATTATTATTCCTATAGTTTTAGGAATTGAAATATACATATATAACGATACGATCACGTGTGTGTATGTTACATATATATAATACCGATTTGACACATTATTAATTATTATTACTATCACTGATGTTGTTATAATTCTTGTTGTTTGACGAGTGTTATGTTTCTTATGGTTGTTTGTATTCTGTATTCCCCTATACTATATCCATCCCACCTACATTATTAGTGTTATTATTTCTGTATACCTTTTTTTTTTTTCTCTCTCTCTCCCCATGTTGATTGATGCCTGTTATTGTTACGCTTGTTGTTTCTGTATCCCCCCCTGTTTTTCTTTTTTTTTTCCTTTTTCCATGGTACTGGTGAGTTCGGAGCAGCCACAATCTTTGCTCTTGAATGTAATGTAAAATAAAGTTGTCCTCCGAAGAGGGGGGGTGGTGGTGGCAATAAAAAAAAAAAAAGACAGTGCTGGAGTTTTCAAATACAGATTTAATATATTAATTCCTTGCATTTAAGGCAACAAACTTACACTAAGTACAAGATCCCCAAACTTCTGCATTACTACTGTTCTGAGAGCACATGATTAGCTCTGCACCACTATGAGTTACACAGTGAAACACTTACATAATAAAATTATTTTTAAGTCTGATTTAACCAGAAAAATTGAAATATGGCCGGGATGGCCAATGGGGTGGCAAGGTTTCAGTCTAGCGTGGCCACGGCCAGCCCTTGCCACCCCCCAGATCCGCATATGCTCAGCATTCAGGTAAACACACATTTATTAGCTTTCACATTTCCAGGTGATCTATCCAGTAATTTTAGAAATTGTACAGGTTGGTGAATGTGGGAGGAGTACGGATTAGATGGGCGGAGCAAGTGATGGGGCTGTCTGGGGAATATTTTGTTGTCATTTCCAACACCTCCTTTCTGGTTTCCATTTTGTAGGAAACATCTTAGTCTGTGATCAGATATGTACATTTCTGTAGGTAGTGCCTTACAAAGTGCCCCCTTGTATTTATCTCTCAACAGCCATGAAGAGCTTCTTCCTTCACTGCAGGGACCTTATGAATGATGAGGTCATTGGTCGCCTCCTTGCCCCCTTGACCTGTGCCATTGCTCTGCTGACTCAGTGAGTTGTAACACTGGCAAAAATTGTGTAATTGAACTGAATGTAACTTCCATAAGCTTAAATTGAAACAAAGTACCAAACACAATGCAATATTATTTTTAAATAATGTTTACTACTTGGAGATGATGTTATTGTATTTCCCGGACTTTTGGGAATACATATGATTTTTTTTAACAGAATAATTAATATATTAATAATTATCGATAATTATAATAAAAATCTGGCTGATCAATCTACCAGTGCTATACCCACATGTCCCTATTGGCAAATTTTACTGAAATCACTCCCATCCCCACCCTGATTCATAGGTTTAACACTGGTACCCATCACTTTGATCAGCATATTATTAATGTTACATCATTATTAGTTACCTCTTGTTTCTTTATTGGCTCCAAAAAATCCATCAATTGGCCCACTTAGCCGCCCCCTACCTATGACAGCCTTGGGTCCCCAGAGAAGTTAGTCTGCCCTTCTCTTAGTGCTCTTAGTATCTTTGTAGATATGTATAATGCATTAGTTTATACATGAAGGGAAGCCTTAACAGTCCTTCAGATTAACTAGTTTATGCTTTAGAAACTGTTGAAGGTTCCCTCAGAAATATTTGAGAAAATAAAAGGTAGCATTTACAACTGTAAATACAAACCAGTCCTTGCAACAAAATATTACAATATTTTAAACCTGTGAGCCGTTCAATAATATTTTGAAAAGAAAAGAAAAAAAGTACTTATTTTGCCTCCACTTTGTGTGATGCTTACTGAACAGTTTGATTTTAGCTGTGAATTGTGCTGTGGAGTCTGTGTGTCATGACCAAATGTGTCGTGTTGTTTAAACCAGGAAGCAATTTTACTCGTTTTAACACACAATATAAGGTATATTAATATAAACAATATTGTTTCAGGCATTCTAGATATCAGTAATCATCACCGAAGCAGCCACAAACCATCACATTACCTCCACCGTGCTTGACAGATGTCATCAAGCACTCTAGCGTCTTTTCATTTGATCTGCGTGTCACAAATGTTGTTCTTTGTGATCCGAACACCTCAGCTTACTAGCAACTTAGAATTATCTATCCATAGCACTTGTTTCCAGTCTTCCTTCGTCCAGTTTCTGTGTTCATTTGCCCATCTCAGTCTTTCCTTTTCATTGGCTATTCTTTTCTTTGCAATTCTGCTTAGAATGCCAGCATCCTGGAGTTGCCTCTTCACTGTTGATGTTGAGACTTATCTTTTGTAGGTACTATTTAATGAAGCTGCCAGTTGAAGACCTATGAGGCATCTGTTTCTCAAAGTACACACACTAATATACTGTATTTATCATCTCACTCAGTTGTACACTGGGGCCTCCCTCTTCTCTTTCTGTTGTGGTTAGATCCAATTTGCGCCGTTCTGTGAAGAGAATAGTACGCAGCATTGTAAGAGATCTTCAGTTTCCTGGCAATTTCTTGCATGGAATAGCCTTCATTTTTCAGAAGAAGAATAGACTGATGAGTTTGTGAAGAAAGTTCTTTGTTTCTGACCATTTTGAGCTTTTAATCAATATTTTTAATTGCTGATGCTCCAGATACTCAACTAGTCCAAAGTAGGCAGTTTTGTTGCTTCTTAAATCAGCACAACAATTTTCATGTGTGCTAACATAATTGCAAATGGGTTGTCTCATGATCAAAACTGTTTACAATAATAAACTTGAATTAGCAAACGGAACATTCCACTGGAACACAGGACTAATTGTTGCTGATAATAGGCCTCCGTACAGCTATGTAGATAGTCCATTAAAAAACAGCAGTTTCTGGCTATCATAGTCATTTACAACATTAGCAAAGTCTATGCAGTATTGCTGATTAATCTGATGTTATTTTAATGGACAAAATACTTGGTCTTTTCAAAAGCAAGGAAATTTCTAAGTGATCCTAAAGTTTTGAATGGTAGTGTGTATTGTGCCCACAAAAACACTGTGGCTCCTCCAGGGTTCCATTTATATCATTAATATATCTGTGATTTCTTGCTGTTATGTCATGGAAAATGTTGGTCATAGTGCAAATGAGAAATTAATAGAATATACATTTTTACACATGTAAAAAAATATGAATACTGTCGACCCTTCCGCATTACAGAGGTCAGGCCTTCCGTGACCTGGAAAAACCACATAAAATTTTTTGCTGCCCTTGGCAAACAAAGTGAGTTTGTGAGCAGAGCACAGCAAAAAGCTATGAAAAACACGAGATACAAAGATCACTGTGAGATCTCACATAAGAGGCTGCTGTAAACATGCATGACATCCTCCAAAATTTCCATTGAATTTTTTATGTCGACCCCGCCAGGCCTATCGAAACTGCAAACTAATTGAAACTAATCTTCACCGGCAAGCTCGGCAAGTTTCACCTCCAACAAATTCCCTTCAGCTGTGTTCACGATACCCACAAACAGCCTATTTTCTCAATAAAAAGAAATATTCCTTTGCAACTTCCTTATTGTATTGCACTGTAACTCACAATGCCATATTCAAACCTGTGTTGAGTGAATTTAGGTTGCATTTTGTAAGATGAATAGATTTTAATGTGTAGTACTTTTTACTTTTGATACTTAAGTAGTTTTTAAACCAGGTATTTATTCCTTTTACTTCAGTAGTATTTTACTGAATGATTTTTACTTGAGTAACATTTTAGTATGGTATCTTTACTTTTGCTTAAGTTTGAACATTGAGTCATGATGCAGAATGGTCAACTGTAATATAAGTAAGGGTTAATGCATGAAAAGCCATGCATTATTTGTTTTAAATGCATGGATGTGGGGGAGGACAGCCTGAAACAAGTTTAAAAATGTGTAATGCATGGCTTGCAGTGCATTAGCCCACTTATATCATGGTCACCACACATTTGCCTTGCGTATTTGCACTTAAAGACATTATATTCATGTTTCCAAACCCAAAATGTATTTATTAGTAGAACTAATACGGTACAGTGTTTCCTTCCGGCAAAGCTGTATCTTGGGGCAACATTTCAAAATACAGAAATAGTATTGCTTTTTAAAATACCATATACCAAAATACCAAGTTTGGACGGGATGAAAATTAGATACCACCCTAACCTACTACTCTATTCATCATTTTAGCTTATATATGACTTATATAGGACCTGCCACTTACAGGGTGAACCATGGGGGTCCACTGCATTGTACGTTGGGTGGCGGTTAACTTTAGGGGCCTCAGAAGACCAATTGTTGGGCACCACCTTTAAGGACATGGAATGTCACCTCTCTGGTGGAAAAGGAGCCTGAGCTGGTGCGGGAGGTTTAGTCATGGCCAAAAGTTTTGAGAGTGACACAAGTGTTGGTTTTCACAAAGTCTGCTCTCTCGGTTTTTATGATAGCAATTTGCATATACTCCAGAATGTTTTGAAGAGTGATCAGATGAATTGCAATTAATTGCAGTCATGAAAATGAGCTTAATCCCCAAAACCCATTTCCACTGTATTTCAGCCCTGCCACAAAAGGACCTGCTGACATCATTTAAGTGATTCTCTCGTTAACACAGTGTTTGACAGTGTTTACAAGGACAAGGCTCAAGATCACTCTTTCATGCTGATTGAACTGGAGTAGCAGACTGGATGCTTTAAAAGGAGGGTGATGCTCCTATTAATCATTGTTCTTCCTCTGTTAACCATGATTACCTGCAAGGAAACACATGTAGTCATCATTGCTTTGCAGAAAAAGGGCTTCACGGGCAAAGATATTGCTGCTATAAGATTGCACCTAAATCAACCATTTATTGGATCATCAGGAACTTCAAGGAGAGAGGTTCAAGTGTTCTGAAGAAGACTTCAGGGCATCCAAAAAAGTCCAGCAAGCACCAGGACCATCTCCTAAAGTTGATTCAACTGTGGGATGGGGGCACCACCAGTGCAGAGCTTGCTCAGGAATGGCAGCAGGCAGGTGTGAATGCATCTGCACGCACAGTGAAGCAAAGACTTTTGGAGGATGGCCTGGTGTCAAGATGGGCAGCAAAGAAGCCACTTCTCTCCAAGAAAAACATCAGGGACTGACTGATATTCTGCAAAAGGTACAAGGATTGGACTGCTGAGGACTGGGGTTATTCTCTCTGCTGAATCCACTTTCCGATTGTTTGGGGCATCCGGAAAAAAGACACGAAAAGGTGAGCGCTGCCACCAGTCCTGTCTCTTGCCAACAGTAAAGCATCCTGAGACCATTCATTTGTGGGCTTGCTTCTCACAATTTTGCCTAAGAACACAGCCATGAATAAAGAATGGTACCAAAACATCCTCCGAGAGCAACTTCTTCCAACCATCCAAGAACAGTTTTATGATGAAGAATGCCTTTTCCAGCATCTTGGAGCACCATGCCATAAGGCAAAAGTGATAACTGAGTGACTCAGGGAACAAAACATTGACATTCTGGGTCCATGGCCAGGAAACTCCGCAGACCTTAATCCCATTGAGAACTTGTTGTCAATCCTCAAGAGGCAGGTGGACAAACAAAAACCCACAAATACTGACAAACTCAAAGCATTGATTATGCAAGAATGGGTTACCGTCAGTCAGGATTTGGCCCAGAAGTTGATTGACAGCATGCTAGGGCGAATTGCAGAGGACTTGGAAAAAGAAAGGCCAACACTTCAAATATTGGCCAACACTTCAAATATTGGCTCTTTGCATAATTGTCAATAAAAGCCTTTGACAAATATGAAATGCTTGTTATTATACTCCAGTATACCATAGAAACATCTGACAAAAACATCTACAAACACTGAAGCAGCAAATCTTGTGAAAACCAATACTTGTGTCATTCTCAAAACTTTTGGCCACAACTGTAGAGAGATACCATCTAGATATAGTCAAGCTCACCTCAATGTACGGTGTAGGCTGTGGATCCAAACTCATGGAAAGGGGCTGAACTCTATTCCATAGTGAAATTCGCCTTGGTGAGAGGTGTTGGGCAAGTGTAGGTGAACTCATAGTTTCCCAGATAGGCAACTGCAAATTCACCCCAGTGAGCAAGACAGTCGCCTCTCTTCAACTTTAAGTCAGGAGACATGAAGTTGTGTCTCTTGGAGACCTTGGTTGGGGTGCTGGATGGCGCATCCTCCAGAGGCTCTCCTGGGGTATTCTATTGTTCCACTAGGGAGCTTTAATGCTCACTTAGGTAACGACAATGAAACCAGAAGGGATGTGATTGGGAGGAACGGCTTGCCCAATCTGAACCCTAGTGGTGCTTTGTTATTGAACTTCTGTTATTTGAACTACATCTGTGCTAACCACAGTTTGTGCTAACATCATGTTTGAATGACAGGGTCTCACAAGGACCCTGGAGGGTTCATGGGAGTTTGCCCAACCAGTCTACATGTGGTTTGTGGATTTGGAAATGTCATGTCCCACAGGGGGTCCTGTGGTGGGGCGCTTTGGGAGTTTGGGATGCACGGTCTGTTGTTACGGCACAAATGCACCTGGCACAAAGTACCCTAGGCCACAGCTTGATGATCAATTTTGTAATTGTCTTATCGGATCTACATCCATGTTGTAGACACTCAGATGAAGAGAGGAGTTGAGCTCTCAACTGATCACTACCTGGTGGTGCTTTGGATCAGATGGCACGTGAAAATGCTGGATAGACCTGATAGACCCAAACACATAGTGAGGGTGTGCTGGGAGCATCTGGCAGAGATCTCTTTTCAGGAGATCTTCAACTCGCAACCCCAGGCAGAGCTTCTCTTGCCTCATGAGGAAGGCTGGAGACATTGAGCCTGAATGGGTGATGTTCTGAATCTCCATTGCTGAGGCAGCTGTGCAGTGCTGTGGCCGTCGCGGTAGCAATCCCTGAAGCCATTGGTGGACATCAGTGGTACCACCAGGCTAAGCGGAATGTGGCTTTGACTGTTGCGTAAGCAAAAACTCAGGTCTGGGCAGTTTGATGAGGCCTTGAAAAATAACTTTCAGTCACCCTCAAAAAGACTCTGGCAAACTGTAAGAAGACTAAGAAGAGGGAAGCAGTTTACAGCAGGGATGTAAACTGCTGTAAAGGGATGTAAATGAGGATTTAGTCAGGTAGTAAGGAGTACTTTGAAGACCTCCTCCCACTGACATCCTTTCGTGGAATAAGCAGAGTTGGAAGACTCACACTAGGGCTAAGGTCACCAAAGTAGTCAAAAAACTCTTCAATGGTAAGGCTTCAGGGGTGGATGAGATTCCCACTGAGTTCCTGAAAGCTCTTTATGTTGTTGGACTGTCTTGGATGACACACCTCTTCAGCATTGTGTGGAGGTTGGGGATAGTGTCTTTGGATTAGCAGGTTGTCTGAAATTTTAAGGAATGGGACTGGAGGATGTGTTCAAACTTCAGGGGGATCACACTCCTTAGCCTCCCTGAGAAGGTCTATCTTGGGGTATTGGAGAAGAGGACCCATCCGTTGGCCGAACCTCAGATCCAGAAGGAACAATGTGGATTCTGTCCTGCTCGTAGAATGCTGGACTGGCTCTGCATTATCACAAGGATCCTGGAGGGTTCATGTTAGTTTGCCCAACCAGTCTGCATGTGGTATGTGGATTTGGGAATGTTGTGTCCCTCAGGGGATCCTGTGGGGGGTGAATTGGGAGTTTTGGATGCAGGGTCTGTTGTTATAGGCCATTAGGTCACTGTATAACTGGAGTGAGAGTTTGGTTCACATTTGCCAGCATTAAGTAAGACTTGTTCCTAGGAGGTGCTGGACTCCACCAAGGCTGGTGGGGATAGATGGTGCAAACTGGCATGTAAGTGGAATGCGTAACAAATTAATAGGTGCAGTTTGAGAGTTTAAGCCAATTCATTCTCTAGTGGCAATTCCTCAAATGCAAGATAATTGGCTATATGTTTCCAGTAGGTGGCAGCACCGACTTTCACAGATCAGCAGTCAATGATGAACGTGTAGAGAAAGAATAATTGTAGTAGTATTTATGGTGTTCAGCAATATAAGGAGGGTTGGAAGTACACACATATCTAATTTTTCATACTCTCCAGACAGTATACAAGGTGTATTGTATTTTTAAAAGCATCACTGTTCCAGCATTTAACAGTGGAGATTAAATTCACCAAGCGAGGGTGGGGGGGTGGTCCCTGGTCTGCGACCATCCGCATCCATAGTCAGATGTAGTATCAACACAAGCTGCCTCGCAGACAACCATCCGCAGCTCAAAAGCACGCATGGAAAACTGAAGTATGAATTGGCCATTACATATCACAGCTATGAGCTTTTGTGGAATACGACACTGTGGTTTCCAACAACCCCCTTTCTACTACAGTACTTTATGGGCTAGGTGACACATCTACAGTAAAATGGCTAGATTTTTCAGTGGAACAGAAAAGTACCTTTCTGAAGGGTACTACTGCAACACTCATCTTGTGTTTCAGCTAACATGGAGAGATATTCCAATATTTTCACACAGCCTGTCTAATTTTGGCACATCATGTGACAAAATCTATTGTAATGTCATGTTGATTGTCCTGTCATTTTGTATATTTCATCTCTTATTCCAGGCTCCCAGCTCTGATTAAGTGCTATGGTACCCAAGTAAAGAATTCCTCAGTTGTGTTCAGACTGAGGATCTATGAGGTCCTGTCTCTTTTCCCTCCTAAAAGCTATGAAGGTAAGAGTGGCTGTGTGTGCTTCACTTAAAGCTGCTATGTTTAGTGGGATGCGTCGACTCAGAGCACAGGGCAGGGGGATACCCTGGATGGGATGCCAGCCCATCACAGCACACATGCACACACCTTTATGTTTTCAAAGAGACTGGTTTTCTTCATTGCTTATCTTTGGAGTGTGGAGGGAAACCCACATGCTGCAGGGAGAGCAGAGTGGGCTCTGCATTTAGGCCACATGATCCCGTATGTGTTAAATGACAGTGTTTTCTGCTGAACCACTATACCATTATGGTCTAGCACGGGGGTGGGCAGTCTTATCCGCAAGAGCCGGTGTGTACAAGGGTTTTTGCTATAACTCCCTAATTAGATTACTAATTAGAGGACTGATTGGCTGAACAGACCTCTCACCTGGGTTGGAACAGTTGACCTAAAGTTTATGTCAAAAACCTTTCCGGATAAAATTGCCCACCCCTGGTGTAGCATCTTTCTGCATTTTCACTGCTAAGTGATCACAGTCATTTATGTTATAGGTGCAGTTAGTACCAGAAAGAAGCCATGACTCTGGGTAGAGTTTCATCCTCTGTGTTTGCCAGAAGCTTCTGCTGTAAAACCAACAGCTTTGCATTCGGTTTTTCTGACCAGATCCCTGGGGGGGGGCTTCCTGATCATTATCCTCTCTGTTCTTTTATTACTCTATAATTGAAGAAAAGGATCCAAATGAAAAATGATCATGACATTGCAAGTATAAAAACTATCATGATAAACTAACAGTGGGTCTGTTTCAGACAGCATTTCAGTGTATCTCCTTTTCCTTAAAGTGATTATGTGGCATTGGCTCAGAAAGACAGCGGGTCATTTGCTAAGTCATAACAGAGGCTTGACTTCAGCTTTAAAGCTACTTTACTGCTGCACAGGCCTGTACCTCCTGTTTTTCTAAATACATTTTGCATGGTTATAGCTTGCATGGTTGTAGCGGGAGTTCAGAGATAAGTATTAATTTACTGTGTTTATATGCACATATTTAACAAGCATTTTAAAAATCTTGTGTCATTACCTATACATATTAATTCATTGTGCTTTATTGAAAAAGTCAAGTCCAAAAATAGTGAAAGGGGGGCTTTTCACTAGCCTGTCCTAAATTAGTTATGGCTGTTTAATTTTTGTCAGCTGTCTATAGGACTGTCAGCCAAAAATTCATTTGGATTTGGGCATTAAGTTAGCCTAGATTAGACAGCCTGACTGCATTAGTACTGTCAAGAAATATATTCAATCCCAAGTTGAAACAGACCGTATCAAAATCATGTGGATAAATTAAACTTTTTAAAAAAAGTTAAATCGTGCTCCAGAATACCTCGGGCTGGTTTTTAGTTTTTTGCTTCAATGTGATCAGATTACCTTTCATTAGCTTTTAACTGTATCTTGCTTCCCACACAAAATTCTTTGTGCACTTTCCAGCTTCATAGTTTTTACACATGCCTTTCTATTTAATTCAGGTCCCATCATTTCCATGAAATGCCCTTCACAACGTAGTTGCCGAAGAGCAGGCAGAATCATCATCCTCTTAAGTACAGTGTAGTGCATATTAGGCCTAATATGTGAAGTATTTTTCTTTTATTAAGTGAATAATTAAACAGTGTATCAATTTAGCAAAGTTCTTGAGCTAAAAGTTTGCTTGCATGCATAAGCTATAATTCACTAGCTGCTAAAAATGTTTAACCTTTTACAACTTTTAACTAGCCTTGTGTATCATGTGAACTTAGTATAGGGCTAGGATGTTGGTAATAAAGTGAGTAAAAATTATTTGCCTTTCCAGTTTTAGCAGAATTCCAGTTTGCAGACATGGTGCTTTGGCTTTTGGAACACCATGTAAACACTGTGGGTTAAGACTTCTGTCATGGTCTGAATGTGTTGGACCTGTGTGCACGCTAAGGAGCATCTTTAATGTCTGATTGGCTGTAACAGAGCCCATCTGGGGTTTAAGCAACAGTGGGTTTGCTCAAATTCTCACCCTTGTTAGAATTTACAAATACATGGGTATGACTATTAACTACAGTTTACTCAGCACATTTATTAGAAGAATAAAAGCTTAGAGTTGCTATGCACTGTTATTTCATGTTCTGTGTTTTTTTATATGCTTTGTTATGGCTGTTTCCTCCTGTTTGCTCCCACTGTCCCCCTCGCCCTGTCCTGCCTGGGACAGGCTCCACACCGCCCTGCAACCCTGCCAGATATGCGGTTGATGGATGGACAGACAGCTCTCACTGGTGCCCTGTCTTCCTGGCTGCATGCAGCACTGACTTTCTGCTCCATTCTCAGAGAGCTTCGGCATTTTGGTGAAGCAGCTGCTGAGTGACCTGACCAGCTTAGAGAGCCCAGCGTGCACAGGGCTAACGCTGCTGCTGTCATTCTGTCACGCCAGCGACGCACCCCTGCTGGGCCTGGCCACATCTGACACTGACCATCTCTTCATAGAGGAGCAGGTGTTTCTTGGCTGTTCCTAACTCGCTCACCACCCGTCTGCCATGATCCGCTCTCTCAGGCAGTTTATAACTGTGGAAGATATATAACTAGTACCAGATGATTTCTCCCCCATGGACATTTTTCCATGGGATACAATGGCGAAATGGGCTCTGTCAGTTTCAGTTCATCATGCAAAAGATGCTGGAAATACACCAAGAACTTGGTCTTTCACAAAGTGCCTCACCATGGCACCATCATTTGTGACTTTTGATATCCTGTTTGCTGTTGTAGTAGGGGTTATCTAACCAGCATGGATCATCCATTGACTGACACATGTTGCATATAGCTTGTGAAATTAGATCAGATATTTCTAACATGTTTAATTGATGCTGATACTTTTTCTATGAGTGGTTAACTGGATAGGTGTGCTGTCTCCATGATTTGCTGTGTCTTGCCCCCAGCTACACAGTGGCAGTGGTGCTGGAGCAGGCAGCCTGGAGCATGACCCCTTCACCATCCACCAGCAGCCCCTGGATGTCCCCCTGCCATTACCCCCGTTGTGCCGCCTCAGTCAGGCGACGGTGCATCTTTTCGGGCTCCTTTTTCCCCACATGGCTGGTGCCCAAAGGTACTCTTTTCATTCTGGACATGGTTCTGTAAAACTTATCATCTTTAAGGAAAACAGTTTTTGTTCTTAAAAAATGTTCTAGATTCATTTGAGCAATTTTCAAGTTTTTATGCTTGTGTTAACTTTTTCTATAATTTTATTGATCAGACTAGGATTTATCTTTACTGTGATCAGGATGGCAAATTGCACTCCAGCTGTGCTCCTGCAGGCTCTAATTGTATTCCCTGGACTTCGGGGAATATATATGGTTTTACTCTGTACTCTGCCCCTGCCACAGATGCTTTGGTATGCAAAGTGATAAGTCAAAAATCCTTTGATGGATCCTTTTCAAACTTTTCCCAATCATAGTATGGTTGAGGAACTAAAGCTGTTTTACATTTTGAGACAGATCGTCCCAAAATTGAAACAGTGCTGCATAGTGATAGCAAAAAAGGTCAGTTTTGACATTTGATGATAATCCAAAAACCATAAATATCTTCATGGATCTTGATCAAACTTTGCAGAGGCATTTTGATCCTGATCTGGAGCCGACTAGATTTTGAGACAGCCCCAAAACTGAAGCAGCAGTGCATAGTGATGGCAGATAGGGGCAGGTTGGGGACTTGATCTTGTCAACATGATAAATGAAAACTTATTTGGCCAATCCTTTCCAAATGCCGCTGGCACATCATGTGGGTGAAGATTTGGACCTGTACCTGGACATTTGTGATTAAGGTATTAGTATCAACAGGTGGAAAATACATTAGTTTGTAAATATTGTTCTTATTGATTGTAGCTAATCCTGCATATAAACTGTGAATAAGAATGCTCATATTTGTTCAGTTTTTTATTGCACAAAAGTCAATTTCACATTTATGTATCTATTGTCATATCAGTTTAATCATGCAGTTTAGTGTCTTTATACATGTGAGGGTCAGTGTTTGCAACTGTCACATGTATGATTCAATCATCCCATATTGAAAAACTAAATGTTTTGTTCGTTTTGTATTTTTAGATGGTGTCCCGAATGACCTCGGTTATTTCTTAAAATCAAAATTTGCAATGCTAGTCAAGATTGATAGTTTGATTGATGAATGTGTGTGTCTCTAGTTAGCCAAACACAACAACACAGTGAGGAAAAACTATGAGATTATGAAAAGGCTGATTGATGTGATTTAATTCTTCAGTCAACATGAATTGGAATTTTAATATTGCTTTTCCACCACTGCAATGCGGGTGATAGTGCTGAACTTCTGCTTAATTTGCAATGGATTCCGCTCTTTTCCAGTTCTGTATACCTGGTGCTGTGCTTGACAGATTGACTCCAGCACAATAGTCAGTCTGAATCTGTGAACCTGTGCAGTTGTTATGTTTGTGTTTATGTGGGGGGAGGACTACAATACGCTGTCAACTTCAGCAGAGCCACATTTGTGATCTCCCGTGTTTGATGATTTGTGTTGTTTTTAGTGTTTGCTAAAAGCATGCAGATGTTAAAGTAGAGCTGCAAAAAGCAAGCTGCATGTATGAAGCAAATTATTAACAAAATAAAATAACATTTAAAAAAAGACTACCACAACCACAAAAATGATCTCTCACAATGTGGCCCAGATTGAAAACGGTTTAAAAGTGTCCCACTATTGTGTATTCAGTGTTGGTAGTCATGCTCCATCCTTTCTGAATTTCCTTACATAATTGAAACTCTGTTCTTCCCCTCCCAATGATATGCTTGAGATGGGGACGTATGTAATCTAATGACTCTGGTGAAACTGAAGTTTTGGGGGAACTGCGTACGATTGAATCCAGGGGCTATTATGATTAATCAATGGCTTTGTTGGATATCGGGGGTGACGTCTTCGGTACATCTGCAAAATCTCCACAGCAAAATTCAGCAAGTAATTACTTATACATATTAATAAAATAATTAGAAATGCTTTGTAATCTAGCTAGTTCATGTTTCATGATTAAAAAAATGTTTCCACTCATGCTAACTTACAGTTATGGCCAAAATTATTGGCACCTGTGGAATTTTTCCAGAAAATGCACAGTTTCTTCCAGAAAATTGTTGCAATTATAAACTCATAAATGTTACATGCCCATCATTATCTGTGTACTCACTGTCTGTTATAAATGATGCCACTTAAGCACCACCTGAGAACCAGCTTCCACTGAGCACCAGTGCAGCACTAGTGGAAAAGACGTAATAGTTTCCATTTATATATTTGCATATCAGGTATTTGTTTATTTTTTTAAATGAAATTTCCTTTTATTTTAATTATTAGACTGCACAGTTTTACATTACTGTTCTGTATTATATTCCCACACAATCACACAACAAAATCCAAAATATTGTCAAAGCAACAAAGCACATTTATAGTTACCTTTGCTATTAGAGTTTTCATCCTCTTCACGTCCCAGTAGTTTTTCACCATTAAAATACAGGAGAATAAATTTGGAATATATAGGGTCTCAGAGATTTATGCATATATAGGTTATTACCAAGTACAGTGTTCAGTTCTGACAAAAGCTTTTATCTCAGAAATGGAATGTCATACAAACAATTTCAATGCAGATTTATTCTGGAGACTGCTTGATAGTCCTAAATATTGCCTGGTAATCACTCAAGTTGACAGATGGTACTTACGTGTTAAACAGGTTAAAATTTTAGCTCTCTAGGTGTGTTATAAGGGTATCAGAGACATAATGAAACTGTAGCTAAATTCATTTAATACAAGTTAGAGGTTAGTGGTTATTGTTAGCTTCTGCTAATTTTTTTTTGTGGTTTATTGGTTTAGTGTTACACCTGTTTAATGACCACCCAGACTTACAACCAGCTCTCCGACCAGTCGGTATTGTGCGCTGTATTAGAATTAAGATGCTAGTTTCCACTCACACTCATTAATATTTCAAATGTCTACAATTAGATTCAGGTGCGCCACAGACATTTACTCTTTATTGTTGAAGTGAGAGGTATTACCATGGTGTGATCCAAAGAGCTCTCTGAGGCCTTCAGAAAGAAGATTGTACGTGCATATGAGTCTGGGAAGGGATATAAAAATATCTTAATGGAATTTGGAAAATAATTTACAAGTGGAGAATATTTAACACAACTGCAAATTTGGCCAGGTCAGGCCATCCTAGCAAGTTAAGCCCAACAGCAGAGCACCAGATGCTGAAAGAAGTCTCTAACAATAGTAAAATGTCATCACGGGACTTTTGGAACAACATGCTTTGGACAGATGAATCTAAAACTGGATTATTTGGACACAGTAACAGAGGACATGCTTGGCGTAAACCAAACACAACTTTTGCGTAAAAGAACCTCATACCAACTCTGAAACATAGGGGTGGAAATGTCATGGTTTGGGGCTGCTTTGCTGCAGCAGGACCTGGCCAGCTCACCATCATAGAATCCACTATGAATTCTTCATTGTATCAGAGGGTTAATTTCTTTTGTTAAATAAGTGAATTTTCTTGTTTTTACATAGGTGATGCAATTACATCACTTTTATCTATACAGATATAATTTGAAAGATTATTTAATATTTATATGATGACATTTCTTAAGAAAAAAAAATGTAAAAAAATTTTCACATGATTGTGTATCGTCTGCTTGGGGAAAAAATATAAGTAGATAGCTATAAAGCCCTACAGATTATTAGTGTATCTGTTACAGTCTTCACTATTATTTCACAGAAAGGTATGGTCATAGTGCAAAAAAGAAATCAATAGAATATTAATATTTAAACATAATAAAAATGAGATTTTCAAACATGGACATTAAAGCATACACAAAGGAATACAAGTGGAAAGATTCTGTAAATTGTCATCATGTAAATTAAATGTGCAATAAATTAATAAGTATGCCTTCAGACCTACAAATCACAAGGACTAGGAGTAATCAGGTAAATACATATTAATTAACTTTTACATTTCAGGTAATCCATCCAGTACTTCGAGAAATTGTACTGGTTGGTGAGTGTGTGAGGACTACGGATTAGATGGGCGGAGCAGGTGACAGGACTGTCCAGGGATCACAATGCTGTCTTTTCCGACAGCACCAAATCTAGTTCTCCATCATTTAAAAATTAAAGACTAATTGGACAGTATATGGCTTTGATATTGCTCTGCTGTTTCTTTCAGCACCCAGATTCTGGATCAGTTCTCGGAGTCCCTCAAACAGCTGAAGGCATCTCGTCAGCAGAATGCACACATTCACATGGTATCTGCTCTGTGCTTTGGCCTGAAGGTAACCTGCCTGCCTCTTGCTGCCTTTCTCTTATTCCCCCCTTCTCTGCTTACCCTTCATATTTACAACTTGTAAATTATGTTTCGAATCATTTTGCGGCTTGTAGTTTTGGTTCTACTAAAGAGAGGTTTTAAGGAGCCCTTA